TCCCAGTCATCTTGTTCAAACCAGTCCTCGATCGACACCACAGGATATTCCTGGGAAGATAATGTTTTTTCTAATTCTAAACCACAGCAGTGTTGTAAATCTTCAGCTTCATAATTTCATGCACGCGGGAAAGAGAATTGAGTAGGTGTCTGGTCCCGAGAATGTTTCTGATTAAGGGTTTTTCATAGTTCACAGTTCAAGGAGGATAGGAAAGGGCAGAGGCGTGAAATGCAAGTCTGCTATTCATCAGTTCTAACTCGGCAAGATCCTGTAGGCGTCTTTCACGACCACATAAGCAGTCAACTTTTTTATGCTTTTTTTTACATCTATGCAATGCAAAAATGTGTATTTCGGAAAAACCTCTCTGTATTTGTCTGACTGTCCATCTTTCCGAAAACTTCAATTTCCACATCTAAGAGAGCCGTGAAGCTGAAATTTTGGCTATTTAGTTCACAACCTTAGATAGGCCCCTGGACGTAAATGAAAGTTCAGATCCTCTTAATTTTCACATTCGGGCACACTGAAAATTTTGGCAGCGAAACGACTTTAGGAACTGAAATTATTCGAGGACATCCTGCCTACGCACGATTCAGAGAAACTAAATTCGGCCTGTACGCACGCCTCTGCCTTCTGATACATTGATGGCACTGCAACCAGACTGTATAGGAAATTGTAAAATATTTACTGCCCGCATAAATCCATACGTGTAAAACGGGCTTTTAATGTGCTCTGCATCTCAAGTACGGACACGTGAAATTTGACATTGACTATTTGTAATTCCACAGCCAAAGCAACTAGAGCGCGGAAATTTGTGTACATAATCATCTTTGATCGAGTGTACGTGAAAACGACTTTTACGTCCCCCTCACTTCTCATCTACGCGCATGTTCAGTCTGACGTTGACGGTTTTGTAAACCGACAACTGAATTACATAAGGATGAGATCTTCTGAACTTGATTCGCGACAACGTGCAGGTAAATAAAATGAAATCAACTGTCGCCTTCCTTCTACCATAAGCGACTAAGCAAGTATGAAATAAACCTCACTTCCCCTTTAAATCTCACGTGCAAACATACGAAAGTTGACCCTAATGAATTCGTGCTCGGCAACCAGAAAAGCTGGAAAGCTGAAAAAATTGTGCGCATGGTTCATAAAAGTGTGCGAGTAATTACATGTAAGATAAACTGTCATTTCCTCTACGTTTTGCGTAAGTTCACGCACAAGCTAGCAGAGACAGTTTTCTAGCTGCTCGTGCAAAAAACGCATGCTTATCCTGTTTCAGTGGCACGTGCCACAGATTATTCAAGATGGCACAAGGCTGGGACAAATAGCGGAGAGACAAATCCCGTTTAAATTTTAAACAGGCAACGTATATGAAAACGAGAACCTTGACAAATGACTGGTACAACTGCAACATTTCGGCACCTGTTTTCCATTTACTCTGGTCTGATTTGGGATTCTTAAAGTCCAAATCATACTTTTTAGCCGACTCCTGTAACAGACTTAGATAATGAATCTCGGTGACAATTCTTCTCTTCTTTGAATCTTAGTAATCTAAAATTGCAGAATTGATCTTGAGCTACCCAAATTCGTTCCCACAAGGGAAATGAGATAAACTGAGATGCAGGATTTTTCAAACCTTGTAATACTCCGAAGCGGCGCAATCCATCCCAATGAAAACTTTTCCAGTATAGCCAGCAGTTGCAATGGCCGACTTAAGCAGA